ATACAATGTTCTGCGGCTTCTGATTGGTTAATCTTCTATTGGTAGACTATAAAGGGAAATAAGTCATTTTGACTAGCTCACTAGTTACATACATATATACACAAAAAACTGTAACACAAGTAACACTGGTAGAGCCCATCTATGAAAAAAGGGTGGACCCCATAACAAAGATGATGATGACTTACCAAAAATTTTCTTAGTGAATTGGTTGTTTTACTTCGTGTGTTAAAAATGTCGTGATATTCTCAAGAAATATTTAATAATTTCAGTTTGCGCCTTGTCTCAAAATTTCTATATTTATTCGAAGCTTGCAGAATAAGAGTCCTTTTAATTTTTAAATGTTCACCCCCCCCACTTTTTAAAAAAAAGAAAACATACTTTAAGTTTAAAAGATCTAAGCATGTTAATTTTCATGACAATTGTTCTGAAAAGCTTTCCTCTTTGGTACGTAGACTTTACGAAATTATGCAATGTTATCGGTCGTAATCTGGCATCTCAGCTTCAGTGAATTTCACACCCATCGAAACGCAGCTTTCATGTGCATTTTCTATAAATATTTTCATGGTAATTGTTTTCTTTGGTACGTAGACTTTACGAATGTAAGTGCAGTACTAGATTGGCGGCAAGGTCTCACTATTTTACAGTTGAAATTGCTACATTTAACCGTAAGTTCTATGATAAAGGTTTCTTCTGCCGCACTTCTCGCTTGTGGGATTCCTTTCCAGCATCTTGCTTCCCTGTCAGGGTTGATCTTCAGAATTTTAAATCGATCATTATGATCAGTTTTTTTTTTGTTCTTTTATTGTTCTCTTCCCTTAATAGTGTTTTTTTTAATTACATATTCTCTCACACTAAACTCCTTGCGTCTTAGTAGCTTTATTACCTTGCTTGAAGTGAAATGATTAGATAAAGATCATAAAGAAAGCGCCAGAAGAAAAAAATGTTTAAATTAGAAAAGAAAAACCATTGTTTTGTTCATGAATAAATTCTAGATACAAAACAATGCTATATTACAAATATATAAAAAATATCTTTATTGGCTTTAGCACTGCTTCCCAACTTATCATGATGACAAGCCGATGCAAAATTGAGGAATTTCTCAATCCCCTGAAGAAGGCCGGATCCTATAACGGCTGAAGATGAGGATAATAGCCCGAATAATGTAAATAATGCATATAATCATAATACCTCATCTCAGAGATCCAATCACCTGAAGAAGGCTGTACAACGACCGAGAGGATCCCCAGACGAGGCTTATATCGAAGAGGAGAGTCTCGTCTCGGGAAACAGCTACCCGACCCCGTTTTGGACAGGGGTCTACGACTTTTTACAGCCGAGCCGACGGACATTAAATTCGGCCTTGTGCCACATCTGACTGCGTGGGGAGGTTGGTAGATACCCTGCATTTGGAGATTCGTATCCAGCTGTGCTGGTTAAACTCTCTGCCTCCAAGGCAGAAAGGATCCCTAGACGAGGCTATGCCGACGGGCTGAGTCTCGTCTCGGGAAACAGCTACCCGACCCCGTTTTATACGGGGTTTACTGGGAATCTTTGGCCGAGCCTACGGGCTCGGATACCTCACATGAAATTCGGCCTTGTGTCACATCTGACGGCGTGGGGCTGTTGGTAGATATCCTGCCATTGGAGATTCATTGTGGAATACTCTTGACTCACTTTTAACAGTTGACTACTTCTACGCGCCGCTGGCGAATCTTATGTGCGTTGTTCTTGTCCTAAGTATTATCGTTCATTACAAACCTTCGTTTGATTATTCTATTCAGTAACCTTCCTTTAGTTACAACAAGATTAAAAAAGAAAAATTCTTCCGAAATTAATTTGTTTACGTTTCGAATACGAAACTGGGTATTACTCTGTGTTTATTTATGAATGTGTCGTCCAAAATATGTACAAAAAGAAAAACTTCATCTTGCCTCGTGATTGAGATAGTTCCCTATTTTTCTATCGCATGGGGAATTGGCGCAACACAATCTTCTCGCTTAGATCACTAGTGCATTTGGACTTGTGTCAGTCCGAGCTAAGTTTAGTTAGTATCTATACGTTCGGACACTTCCGCCATTTTTTACTCCATTAAAAATAAAGAACAATCTTTCTGCGTATATCATATAGATGGGTGGTTGACGTCTAAACTAGCTGCCCCACCCCCGCTAGCTTTTCTGCTGGTAAGAAGAATTTCATGTCACCTAACAGGACCAAAAACAAAACCTGTCAAAGGGTGGATGTACTTCTTATACGGCCAACACACATACATATATATATATATATCGACGATGACGAGAAGGCTTACGTTTCACGTGAACAATCATAGTTCAATCTCAGAGCATTTAAAAGAACGCTCATGTCAACATTCACAGTTTAGACAGATATTAATCGAAAATACATCGATGCTCCAATAAGATAATTATAAACAAAAACTTAACATTCTGGAAGTCCTTTACATAAAATGCGGCCCCAAATAAATAAAGTCATCTACGAGTATAGCAACAAAATTCTTAAATGTTTGTAGCAGCAAAGTGTTAGATAATATATACTAGATTAAAAATGCTACGATTAAAAAATCATTTAAAAATAAAAAAAATATTTAAAAAATCGCATAAGTTACCTCCCTTGCATAGAGTTAAAAATATTTTGAATTTACGGTGTTAATGCATAACACATCCATAGATATGCAGCCCCTGAAGATGGACTCAGATGAGATTGAAAGTACTTGGAAAATAAATATTATTTGAAAGAAAATTTTGGAATTTTTCTTAATCAATTTTCTACAGCCACCAAAAATTTAATTTGTGGACTTGAAAGGATTAAAACTAAAATAAATAGACATAATATGTCTAAATTATTTAACTAAACATGCTTAAATGAAAATATGCTGTCTCTCTCTCTCTCTCTCTCTCTCTCTCTCTCTATATATATATATATATATATATATGGTGTAAGAAAAAAGTGCCTAACGATTGAAAAATAACAGAGCTATTTAATATATCAAGAAATATACATAATATCTTAAAATGATTGCACAACTCGGAATTTCATACATTCTGCATTCGTCAGGTGCAATTTGGAAGGTGCAATTTTTTTTTACCAAAACAAATTCTTAATATATATATATGTATATATATATATATTACGAAGTCTGATCAAAACGTATCGGGACCTCAAGTAGCCCCCTTCTGAAGCCACACATTTTATCCAATGTCGTTTTGCGTTGATGGAAGCATTCTCCTCTCTCATTGCATTCTCTGGGATTTCTTCGTCGTCTTGAAATCTTGCTCCTTTCAAGTGGGACATGATTTTTGAAGAAGAAATGTCGCAAGGTGCGAAATCTAGGGAATGTGGTGGCTGTCGGAGCTGAGGAATGTTGTGCTTGGCCAAAACCCGCTGCACAAGCCCTGATCACTGATGAAATCTCTGCGGTGTTGCGAGACTACCACACTCTACACACTTTCCTTCCAAGCACTGCTATAAACAACGGAAGTGAACGAGAACATTATAACTTAGTGTGCATGCGCGATAGGGTTCAAGGTTAATCTGCGCCAAGCACCTTCACTTACTCTGCATAATTTAGCTTTGTTACCATAGAGGCAGTCCCGGTACTTTTTTTAAAATCAAATCTCGTATGTATGTACACCTGAGGAGATATATACCTACACCTGAGCGCTTGTGTACACAGAATAACATTGAAAAGAAATAAAAGGTCTTTGCTCACATCTAGTAGTCGAGAGATGAAAATATAAAATAATTGGAGCGATAGACAGTAAAAGTTTTGTTTTTTTCATTTTTCGCTTAAAATGTGAATAATCCTGATCCCTCCCGCCACATTACTATCTCGAGTTCAGCTATAAAAGAAAGAAAGAAAGAAAGAAAGAAAGAAAGAAAGAAAGAAATGTCGGATGTAAATACGTCGGTAGATATTAGCACCGAAAATAACTGATATCTGATAGGGAGTGTTAAGCAAGCGTAGACTATAAACAGATAACAGTAAACAGCTGGCCCCACAAATTCGACTTGACATGCAATCGAAGTTTACTATACAGGGGAGATGTCAGTTTTATAATTAGAAGTATAGGTAGCGTACATGGATTTTTAAAACGTGATTCCTTTAGACATATACACATATGATACATAATGTATTAATTGCATACACCAGGAAATGACTTGAAACTTTTGTTTAAGCATTGGCGCCTCGGGGACAACGAGGCTAGTCTGATTGGCCGTTAATCCATCGTAGTGACTTCGATCCGTACCGGGTTCCCAATAGAAAAAAAAAATCAACATTAGGTAAACCAACAAAAGTTAGCATATTGTAAAATCAGCGAATCAAACTTGATATTGCCCGTATAAATGTAATGGCTAGATAATATCTGGCAGAGAAAAAGATTACAGAATGTGTGATGCAGATTAAAACCGCGTAAATAAAATGTAAGTAAGAAAGTGATTTTCGATTAACAGGGTTGTACATTTACCGACAGAGATCTGTGTTCGAGCCGAAGTAAAACTACTGTTTCGAAAGCAGATTGTCAAGGGAAGCAGTTTGATCTGGTTTAGTTTATTTTGTTTTACGGTATATCAAACTCAATGGGTTATTTAATGCCGACAAGGTTTTTAGGATAGGTTCGTATGAATAGAATATGTATTCTTTGTAAGAAATCATTTTGTAGATCAGGTTTGGTTTATTTTGTTTTACGGTATATCAACCTCAGTGGGTTATTTAATGCCGATAAGATTTTTAGGATAGGTTCGTATGAATAGAATATGTATTCTTTGTAAGAAATCATTTTGTAGATCAGGTTTGGTTTATTTTGTTTTACGGTATATCAACCTCAGTGGGTTATTTAATGCCGACAAGATTTTTAGGATAAGTTCGTATGGATAGAATATGTATTCTTTGTAAGAAATCATTTTGTAGATCAGGTTTGGTTTATTTTGTTTTACGGTATATCAACCTCAGTAGTTTCATACTGACAAGATTTTTAGGATAGGTTCGTATGAATAGAATATGTATTCTTTGTAAATCAGTTTGTAGATCAGGTTTCATTGACGTATTTTCGTAAAGAGGGTTATTTTAAAAAAATGTATTGCTGGTATTTTTACTATAAAATCTGTTTTCATACTTTCAAAGTGTTTTGCCCTGCCATTGCCTCAGATAAATAATGGACCGAATAATGCCCCACTGGGCGAAGTGGCTATCAGTGGTAAGGAAGAAATGCAAGTATTACTCACAAAATAGGATTATTATAGTTGTAATCGGAATGATAATGACAATATAGCCGTTTCCCTATAAGGAAACATTTGGCAATCATTTACCGAACATTCAGTACTGTGTTCGGTTAAAATTTATAAAATCTTTCTTGTAAAATTCTTTTTTTTTTTATAGGAAAACAGGTAACTCAAGTCCAGTAACTGTTATTGCTCTTTCTATTATGAATAGTGGGGTTTCTTCCTAAGCTTTTGTTTGAAGTATTGCGGAAAGTCAACATCTTGATACAATATTTTCTCTGTGCTATCCATTTTAATCGTTGCCGCTGTTGGCAGTCCTCAAGTGATTTGCTTTCTGTTAATGGTTTCTGTGCTGTTTACAGGTCTTTGTTTGAGATTCTATAGAGCCAATCCACAATGTTCAAAGAAGTATAGTCTTTGCCAAGATCCTCAGGTTTCACTCGCTCAAAGTCATTTTTAATCATTGATCCCAGGAAGCAGTTGTATACGGCTGACAGTTTAGGTATTTCTGAGTTTGGCGCCTTGCATGACGTCCCTACGGATGTCTCGATCTTAGGAGGCCATTTAAGACAGTGACTCTAGTTTTGAAGTTGATGTTTTAGAATGGCATATTGAAAGATGCCTTTTAGAAACTAAGCAAACTATTAAGCGATGGGAACAGATATATTTTCTACAAACTTTAAATAGAAATAAAATGAAAGAATAAGAAATAGAAGGATAGACACACTAAGATTGTGGAAGCTGAACATTCTGGGGTAAGACGGCCTGGAGAATTTAATACACACAAAACTGGTACTTCTGCCTTATATCTCGAGATGTAATCAAATGAATGATCTGTAATGTAATCTTTACCAGGCATCTCACTTTCTCACCGATTGTTCTTTTTTTTTTTCCTCGGTGCCCCGAATACATGAATTTAAGCTTGATACTAGATTGGCAGATAGGTCCCACCGTTTTATTGTTGAAATAGCTAAATGCAATTTCTACTCCAACAGTTTTTTTTCTCGCACTTCCCACCCGTGGAACTTCTTCCCGATTCCTTGCTTCTCTGGTAGCGACATTCTTCAAACATTTAAATGCAAAGTCAAACGCCGTCTTCTGTACTCTTGAATCTGGTTCATTCTTTTTATCCTTTCTTCAATCATTCTTATTCTCATCTTTCTCTTTCACTTTCAATCTTTGTAACCGCCACCCCCCCTCCGCACTCGATGTATTATTGTATTGCTTGGGGTGAAATGATTCAAAAAACATAAAAAAAAACGGTTTAACAGGAAGTAACTTACTTAACTCCTTTTCAAGAGATCGATAATAGCAGGATATGCTTTTATTGTAATGGTTAAAGGAAATGGGAAATTATGCATGCATACACACACACACACACACACACACATATATATATATATATATATATATATATATTTATAAGACATTTTTATGTTTAACGTTGTTTTTTATAGATACAAGTATTTAAGCAAATGCTCTGTTTATGATAAACAGTATTAAATAACATTTACCGGCCTGAATGTCGAGAAATTTTCATAGAAAATATTCGTCCTTTGACAGGATTCGAACGGATAAGGCACGTCAGCGTAAATGACGGTTCCGTATAGGATGCAGGTTTGAATCCTGTCAAAGGACGAATAATGAAAAATTTCTCGGACATTGTAACGTTATTTTATGTTATCATAAACTTAAAACTTTATCTATAAAACAACGTTAAACATAAAAATATCTTTAATGAATAAATTGTCGGACTTTGTCCATTTCTTAATATATATATATATATATATATATATATATATATATATATATACATACCGGGTGTAACGGAAAAATTGTCCAAACCGTGGTAAAGCATAATTGTCCATTCCACACAGTGTTTTATATCTAAAAACAAAAACAAAAAAAAAACACTAAACTGATTGAGTTTCTTTTTCCAGGTTTTCAGAAAAGACATTTGGCCATCTTGATATCATTTGTCAAAAGAATCCCTGAAAGACCCTTTGAGATATTCTGCTAAAAAGAGAACAGGTTAAAATCGTCTTCCCAATTGAGTAATGGTGAGAGGAAAAAGATCATTCAGGCCTTCAGTAATGGTACCAATATTCATAACCTGGCTTTAATCTTCAAAGTCTATTCAAGAATCATCCAGCGAACGGTGAATAAGTTTTAAAAAGAGGGAACAGTAAGACGTCTCAACAGGAGGAGGGCTTCAGCATTTCAATTTAGAGATAAAGAGATCAATTAGAAAAAGATCCAACTCATCGTTTGGCACGTGAGAGAGGAGTTTCAGCTATGACAGTCCAAAGAGCAGTGAAAAAAAGACTTGAAAATAAAATCGTACGTGAAACCTGTGAGGCACCTTGTTACCTTGTTACTCCAGGACAGAAAGTTAGAAGGTTAGAAAGGGCGAAAATCATCTTGAATAAGTTGGAAAATGATGATGGAATAATATATATATATATATATATATATATATATATATATATATATATATATATATATATGAACTTTTATTCAATCCTTCATGAGTTTCCGATTCAAAACTATGAACAGGTCATTTTCGTTTATGGTCGATTTCATCACAATTCTTCTGTTAAATTTGGAGATACATTCTTCTTGCTCAAAGTAATGTCTAATAATGTTATAAAAACCTCGAAGAATTCCAGTAAGCTATCTTTAATCATTTCTAACAATTGAACAATTTTGCTGTTAAACCTTGAATATATATAGGAAATATATTTCAGTGGTTTTAAAAGAATCGATCTGACTTGTTTCATTCAATGGATTAGCGTTCCCGACTCGATTTGATACACGGGAAATTAGAATTTTCCACCGTTTCGTTGATGCAGAGAAATAATTACAGCAAAGTCAAGCTTAAGGTACTCGTCGCTTCTGGATAACAGCTAGAAGCGCCGTTGGGTACCAAACTTAGAGCGTGTCTCACAGGACACAAAACGTGCGCCGGCTTAAAGCCAGTTTCATTGACGCATGCATTTAAATTTTCTTTCATATTACTTCCATTATTATAACCTTGAACAAGCACACTTTCGCTTGGTAAGCGATGTGGTTTCACAGAGGGACACTGAGAATACCGTGGACAGATCATATGAGTAACGAAGGAATTTTATGAAAAATCGAGACAAAAAGGTCGCTTTTAATTAGAACCATAAAGAGACAATGGGAATTTCTGGACACAGAAGGAGGAAAGGAGGCTTAGAAAATTTGATACTCACAGTGTTGTTCATGATGACGGTCGTCCTTGCGTATAGAATCCAGAGGTTAGCAGTGAATATTTCAAAGACAGTAGGGAAGCGTAGTTCAGGTTAGCAGTGGATATCCCGGTAAAGTAGCAGAGCGTAATTCAGTAGTTCTTCCTTCAGTTCCTGACAAGTTGGCACTGGACATTCGGGGAGAGTAAACAAAATGGCCGCCTTTATACACGACGGATTGAATATTTTACGTCTTCTGATTGGTTAACCCTTCTCTTGGTGGACTATAAAATGAGTCAAGTCATTTTGACTGGCTCACTAGTACATAATATACACAAAAAACTGCAACACACAGGACATATTCAAGAAAAGAGGTATAGAGAGATACAGATCGAGATCGTGTAAGTGGGTGGCAGAACAGGGATATTTTATTATTCCTCTTCTGCCACAAAAAAAAAAGCTGCAAAGGATAGGAAGTTGTTGAGAGCCATGATCACCCTAAACTAATAGAAGAAGATTGTTAGCACTGTACAAGCTTCTATAGACCAGTAGTTCCCAACCTATTTTGGCCCACGACCCTCTTTGGTATTTCTAAAATTCTAATGCCCCCCACTCCTGTAATATTTAATTCTTACATATTCAAAATTTTACTGCAATTCACGTGAACGAAGCTTAAAAGGCCATTAACTTGGTCCCTAATCTTGAAATTGCGTGTCTGAGAATTGGGAAAGAATTGTCCATGCCGTCACAATAGTTAGCACTGTTCAGTTTAACTCCTCCATTAACTTGGAATGGTTCAATAATGGTTTGTTCACCAATTCTATATACCACACTGTCGTTTCCTTGGCGTCTTTCTTTAGCCACAGGCACATCTGAATCGGATAAAATCCATCCTTTCGCCGATCGATCAGGTTCATCGATTGTCACCCAGATTTGCCCGTGAAAATTACTTTAGAAAAGTCAATTTTCATGTATTTCTTGGCCCAGTTCTGTCGCTTTAAAATATTAGTTTTACTGAAAGGAATTTGCCGAGGCTATTCTACAGCTTTTGTCTTTCTTGATTCAATTTCAGCCTGTTCAAAGATCTGGGAATTTGTTAAAGGAGGTTGTTTTAGTATAACTTGCTTTAATTTACGTTTCCATCGAGGAGACAAGTTCTTAAAACCTTTTTCTCTGCTTCTAGTTCTCATCTTAGTTATTTTTGTGATGTCAACGATATTTAGTTTTTCTAATCTTTTTAATTTGAATATAAAATATCTTTTTAATTGAAATAAGTAAAGCATTTGTAATTTAGGATTTATGTAATTTTATAATTCAATGTCTTATGAAACTTCACAGATTGCTATCAAGTCTTCTTTTTCTTTTTCTTCTCATTATTATTATTATTATTATTATTATTATTATTATTATTGTGCAATTAAAAATTTTAATTAAAATGTTTCAAAACAAAAATATTTTTTGTTTTTTTTGTATGTTTTTGGATTAAATATAATAAATTTTATAAGTGTTTATTCCATTTAGTATTGATCTGTGGAGAGACATAATCATCTTCATTCTGAACAGACACGTACCGAATAGAGAGAGAGAGAGAGAGAGAGAGGAGGGGGAGAGAGAGAAAGCGAGGGAGAAAGAAAGAGAGGCAGAGAGACAGGGTAGCAAGAGAAAGAGTGAGAGAAGCATAGAGCAAGATAGAGAGATAGTGAGCGAAAGAAAGAGAAAGAGAGGGACAGGGTAAAATAGAGAGAGAGGGCAAGAGAGAAAGAGGTAGAAAGAGCAAAATATATATAGAGAGAACAAGAGAGAAAGAGAAAGAGACTGAGAGAGAGAAAGAGAAAGAGAAAGAGATCGATTAGAAAGAGAGAGAAAGAGTGAGAAGGAAAGAGAGACAGAGAGAAAGAGAGAGCAAGATAGAGAGAGAGTGAGAGAGTGAGGGAGAGAGAAAGAGAGCAAAATATATAGAGAGAGTGAGCGAGTGAGGGTAAAAGAAAGAGAGAGCAAGATAGATAAAGAGAAAGAGAGAGCAAGATAGATAGAGAGAAAGAGAGAGAGGGGTTATTTTGTTATTTATTAATGACATTTTTAACCATAGCCTAAAGCTACTGGAGTGTTTGATGGAGGCTGCTCTGAGGCTAAAGAGATGGGAATTATTCGTGCCAATTAGCCACGTTGTAATGCGTCAACTTAGAGCTTAAGATGCGAACAGAAATTAATTCTTTTTCTTTGTGTCGCATCCCCCCCTTCAGGACATGGCCAATCATGGCTAAGTTAATTTGATTTTAAAATATTTTAAGTGAAAAAAAATTTAAAAATACGTGTTATTTATACAGTAAGTATTTCTATTTGAACTTTCTTCAGATGCGACAGACAATATTTCAATGTTGAAATCTGTTTTAGGTTAAAGACAGACACAAAGAGATCCTACTTTGCCGTTTCGCCCAGTTGTTTGTAGTGTAATTATTTGTTTTTCGGCTTTCTTCAATCAAACAATATTTTAAATATTTAAAAAATATTTTTTGGCTTATTTTAAAAAATATTTTCTAATGAATATGATTTAAAATATATTTTGGCATATTAAAAATATTTTTAAGTTAATCTGATTTAAAAATATATTTTAAGTGAATAAGATTTAAAAATATGAGTTGTTTACACAGTAAGTATTTTTTTTATTTCAACTTTCTTCAAAGAGACACTTTTTTTAATGCTGAAATCAACTTCAATGTTTTATAAACTGAACCGACAATGACCCAACAGATCACAGGTAGGTTAGTCTATATATAAAGTTCTGTGACTTGCGTTAGTCCGTCCGTCACACCCTCTAAAATAGCCCTGTATTAACCGATGAAAACCAAATTTTGTGGAGAAGTGCAAACAGGTAAGGGAGTACAAAGTACAATTGGTTTTACTAGTGTGCGTAGCTTAGTGCAATAAATTTTCATTATTATTTTTTGGGGGAGGGGGAATTAAAAGTTTTATTGTTTAACATACAAAATATTCCCGCTATTTTAAAAACAATTTAATGAAAATATATACTATAATAAAAATGAAATATTGTTTTTTTTTTAAAGTGTTTATATATACAAGAATCCAGTTTCCAGTTCGCCCTGCGTTTGCGAGAATTATAAAACGAACACAAGGTCAATTGTTTTAAAAGTTGGAATTTGGATCCAGAAAGAAATATTTATGCATGGCCAGTTGTATGTTGTATGCTCAAGAGTAAGAAATCTTAAGAATTTATTCTTCGCTGTTAAAAAGGAATAAAAAAGCTTTAAAAAGTACTGTTTACCATAAAGTTCTATAAACTTAAATTAAAGAAATTATTAAACCGTGAAGTAGTGTTTTTGTCAAAGTATTTTTCCAAACAAATCAGCTTATTCAAATTTCATCGATTGGTTTGCTAAATTGAACGAAACGTAGAGTTTGTAAATCTCGACAAAAAATGTTAGTGATAACTTTAACAATACTAAATTCTGTCAAAAATTCTAGTTTTAAAAATTCCCTGTTTAGCATTCCCTGTAGTTTTATTTCCGTGTCGGCCATCAACTTAGTGTCATCTGCGTATCTTGATTATTGTTGCATAAATCGTTTTCTGGTCACAAATCGAATAATCTATGCGCTATATCCTTTCTGGGCGTGGTACATAACTTCCTGTCCCTTGTAGCTCCAAGCCACGGTGTTGATCCTTTAGTATCCATCTTTGTTCTCACTCTGTTATGCATTTGCACTAATTATTCGCGTTAATAACCGGCTTTGCAGGAGATTATGTTTTTTTTGCATCCAGAACTTGCTACCCTATCGCCAGTTGCATCGCAGATGCTCACAGTTCTCGTTAATAATATTCCAAGGAAAACACTGAAACAAAAGATTACTGAAGAAACTGTTTAATCACGTAGATTAATAATACAATAATCGCAAATGCCGTAGTTCGTGCGATAAAGCTTTCTACCCACTTTGGTTTGGTTTATTTTCTTTTCCAGCATATCAACTGCAATGGGTTGTTTACTGCCGACAAATTTTTTTTAGGATAGGTTCGTACGAATAGAATATGTATTCTTTGTAAGAAATCAATTTGTAGATTAGGTTTCATAGAAGTATTTTTCTAAAGAGGGATTTTGTCGAAAGTCAAATTGTTTGTAATATCTTTTTCTTTCAAAATTGTATTCCGGGTAACATTTTTTTTTCAAAAATGTTATGCTGATATTTTTACTATAAAAAATCTATGTTTATACTTTCATAGTGTTTTGACCCCAATTTGGGGATTAACTATTTGCCCAGAGCTGGAACACAAACAAGTGTTACCACCCCAGGTCAGAGTACACCAGGAAACAATAGCAATTAAGAGGTGGTTTCACGTTCCTCAAAACCTCCTGATCAGTTGTTTTGCTGCCGGATGTAGTTTATCGTCAAACCCAGTACAAGTGACCCACTTTGCGACTCCTGGTCTTTATGTTCTGACGTTCTTCTCAAACTGAATGGAAGAGTCTATGGTCAACAAATTAGTGTAGCGAAGGTCGATCGTCTTTCTGCACAACGGAGATGTTCATACGAACTATATTCCTTCGTTCCAAAAAATTCAGACCTTCACAGTTGAGACTCACCAAGCTACATACAAAGGCTCGAATCATCCTCATTCCCTTCGTATTCCATCGGCAACAAAGAAGTTACATTCGGAATATTTCTTTCAGAGATCCATTACGTTGCTTGTATATATAACAAGAAACAAGAAAATTAAATTATCCATTACAAAAAATTTAAAACAGCTAAGCTTATCATAAAAAATAACAACACACCCTCAAAATCTAAGCTACAAAGAACCAACATTATTTACTTTAAATGCCCTTTAAGAAGCTTATAAATAATTACATTGGTCATACAACTACATGCTTATCTAGACGACTCACGTTACACCTAACTGACTATAGCTCAACTAGGAGTCATTTAAATACACACGAAAACTTACCAAACTCCATCCGAAATATATTAGTAAAAAAATTCACATATAATAGCCCCATCCACGTGTAAAAAAAAAGATTAAAAATAATGGAAGCACTAATAATAAAAAAGAAAAAAAAAAACACTACAATAGCATCAACTACGAACACGGTCACAATGTGGTGACCGTGTTTGGAAAATAATACATCAAACACATACATAAAACCTACACATTCAGTTAAAAATAACAAAAAATCGCCCTTGATAATAGTTAAAATACTAGCGGAAAGCAGTCGGGTATACAGAGCTTTTGGATAATTTTTACACACTTTGTGTCCAGAAAAGAAAACATGAAAAAAAAAAAAAGGAAATAAAAAGCTTAATCACAGTACCTTATCAGTTGTCTTTAACGAAAACTGCATAAAAGAGGGATTAATATCAGATACACAATATATATGTGTATATGTGTGTATGTCCGTGTGTGTATGTATATATAATTAGTACATAAAATTAAGTATGCCACGTATGCAAAACAAATAATGTAACGAGGATATTTTAATCGCTGTTGCATAATGATTTATTCTCTTCTAATGTCATTCTCAACTTTTTCCGCATTTCGTTTTGCTTTTGTTCTTGAAACTTTTTAAACGAAAGACACTTTTTAAATATGCGTGCAATCCTCATAGCTGAATGCTGACTTTCTTTCCATAAAACTGACAACCTTTTCAATAGCATTTTCAGTTTCTGTCGAGGTTTCATCATAATCATGTTTTTTTTTATTTACTTGTTCGATATGACAGTGTGAACACTGGAGAATAGTTTCTTTGGAAGATTTTATATCATACAATGTTGACTTTCCTATGTTGAGCTCAGCCATTAGTTACAATGAACTTTCACCAGCGTCTAGTCTGTTTAAAATTTCCACTTTTTTGCGATGAGTCAAAAGTTGTTCTTTTCCTCTTATTCCCATCATCTTTTGCACCAATACAAGCCATTAGGGTGAAATAAGCATAAGCAATTATCCAAAGTAAATTTCCTGAAAAATAGAAATTTCAAATCAGTTACAGATCACCCAAATAGTTCAAATATACGCATCAGAATCATGTCCGGATGTGCGGGATTCCGGATATGAGGCACTCCGGATATGAGAGATTCCGGATATAAGGGATTCCGGATGTGAGGAATTCTACTATAATTGGAAAAATCCGTTAGAAACAAAGAAAAGAAAAAGTACTGAACTGCTGTCATACAAGTTAACCAAAAAAGTCGTGTCCTTTTTTAAAGGAAAAAAAATAAAACGCTTCACATTATGTGTAACTTATATTTAGTCTTCGAAGTAATCGCCATCGGCATCCAGCACCTTCTGCCAACCTATCTCCATATGTTCAATGCCCTTGCGGTAGAAATCGGGGGGTTTTCATGCAAATAAGTCCATGATGGCTTTGCGCAAGTCTGCTTCATTGGATTTCCCACGAAGATGATTATCCAGGGAGTGGAAGAGGTGGTAATCGGTAATCGGATGGCGCAGTCAGGTGAATAAGGTGGATGACACAAAGTCTCCCACCCAAGTTGCTGTATGGTATCCCTGACCACTCGCGTGACATGCGGCCTGGCGTTGTCATGGAGGAAAAGCACACCTTTGCGATTCACCAGTGCTGGATCCTTCTGGCGCAATGCCTGTTGCACACGTTTCAATTGCTGCGAGTATAGGTCTCCAGTGACCGTTTGGCCCGTTGGTAGCAGTTCATAATGAACCACTTGACGACCTGTCCACCAGACACAAAGCATAATCTTGCGTGGGTGCATAGGCGGTCTTGCGGTGTGAGGGACAGCATCCTGAAGAGTCAACCAATGTTTGGAACGCTTGGGAGTTTCGTACAGAACCCACTTTTCATCACTGGTAAGCACTCGATTGAATAAGGATGCGGTACGGTGGCGAGAAAGCAGCGATACGCAGGCTGCCACTCGTTGTCCCTTGTGGACCTCCAACAGCGTTTGCGGAACCCACTTGCTCAGTTTGTACGTCTTACCTAGGCGGTGCAGGTGAAGTCTAACTGTTTCATCGGAAACGTTGAACTGTCTTGCAAGTTCACCACACGTTAGACTACTGTCCTCTTCAATGGCCGCCTTCAGGACTTCGTCATTCAA